GTTCGATAGTAATCCCAGTATCAGATGTTACGCTTCCTGAAAGCGGAGACGGTCTCGACCCTCTCAGTGCCCCCACATCACATTCAGTGGACTGCCTTAACACTGCCAGACACAAAAAATATCTTCCGGTGTGATTTGGAACACTACCTATATTAAAATAACCACTGTATGCTTTTTCTAATGTAGTTTGTATTAAGTGCTTTAAGTTCCAGGCAGGAAACAGATTTAACATTTATTATAATTTTGAAAATATCAAGCAATTAAAAGTATTCAGTAGTACTCTCACTTTGAAATAAGAATCATTTTGAAAGTCATGAAGATTCTCTGATTTATTTATGACTTTATGATTCTATGACTTTATGATTTATTGGCATGTGCTCCACTATTGTAGTTTTAGTTGTTGCTTTTTTCTATTCTTCAACTAACTCGAGTTGTTGTTTTTTTTTTTTAATCCTGCTCTATCCACAGGGCCTGAATTTAGATTTTCCCAGAGATAGTTCATGAAGGAAATCCTAAGATACCTCCTTTTTCATTTTGTATTTTTTTCCCTCCTAGTAATTCATCAATATACCAGCAGACTAGTAGAAAAGGCCAGTGCAGTGTGATAGGCCTCAAACCACTATGCCAAAATTAGGTTAAAAGCCCAGAATGTAGCTTATAACATCAAGACCACTGCCCTATAGATGACATTCTCCATCTCCCACCTTTAGTCAGAGCCTTTAAACCATTATTCCAATTTCAAAATGACATACCAGGGGGGCTGTGCTTCTCTCTGCCTTGCTGTTCGAGATGTTTTGGATGTGGAAAGAGACAATTGTTTCAACCTGGCCCTTCAATACCGCTTCTGCAGCTCTGCAAAGACAGGGAGATACACTGGGGCTTGTTTCTAGTTCACTCACTGTAAGTCCAAAGCACTTTTGCCCTACATTGAATTTGCAATAGGGAAGAATAAGAAGTATAAAGAACCACCAAAAATCTTGAAGAAATCAACAGAAATAGGTTGTCATTATATGAGGAGGTGTCACAAAAAACTCAGACTTTATTTATAAAAAAGTGTGTATTTATTCTTACATGTTTAAACTTCAGGCACCTTCAGAGTACTCTCCATTTTTTCCAATGCTCAAAACAGTTTTTGAACTTGTCAATTTTGATGTCTTTTAGTGCTTCTGCTGCTTTTTTTGTTTTACCTCAGCAAAATGTTTCCCTTGGAGGACTCTTTTCATCCAGGGAAACAAAAAAGTTGCTAGGGGTAGGGGTGAGATTGGGTGAATAGGGAGGGGGGGCACAGGGTCATGCCATGTTGGTCAAAAACTGCTGAACACTCAGTGCAGTGTGGGCAGGAGTACTCATAAATCTCTCATGATGAAGTGGGCAAACTTGTTGAATCTTCAAAAAAAATTCACTGAAGCCTGATGCAGCCACCCACAACATCAGCTGGTACACTGATACAGATGGATTCCTAGAAAACTCACTTAGCGGAGGAAGCCTGTGCTACAAGGGGCCAGCCTTCCAGGAGATAATTCGTTTTGGAGGGATATCCCCTCATATGTCTATCATTTACCATCAAACTTCTTGAAATTAAAAGATAACCATTAGCAAATCTCAAAAGAGATATTAAAAAACCCCAAAACTTTCTCCTTCAAACCAATACACTGTGGTGAGTGTTTTATAGAGAATCCTAATTCAAAATTCCAACCTGAGAAGGGTAAACATGAAATCTCATAACACCTAACGATAAACTAAGGCTGTCAAGATTCATTTTGTATACTAATTTTAAAATCTTAAATGGAAAAGTCAGAAAACTATATGTAGGCCATATTCACATTTTTAACAAATAAGTAAGTAAAAGTCCATTGACCTATCCATCCATCAGAAACAACATGTACCAAAACAACTCCCTAATTTTCTTGGTGAATTTCAGAGATATTTTTCTTTTTAGTTATTGATGTTTTCCAATTATCCTAAAATGGATGTGTATTACTTATGTCATCTAAAAAAGAATACCAGGGTGTAAAAAAAGTGAATGGCGCAATCAATCCCTTTTGTGTTTAAAAAGGCATATATATATATGCTTGCATAAGCACAAAATATTTCTGGAAGGAAAGCCAAGGAAGTTATCATTGTGGCTGCCTCTGTGGAATGGGGGTGGAGGTTTTATATTTTATTTTACCTCTTTCTATGCTATTAATCTGAAGTGGGGCGGGGGGGAGGATCAATAAGAACTTAGGTGCCCAAACATGCAAGCTAAGTCAACAGCAAGACACAGCCATCAACTTACTTATTGGCCATCTCAGTAGAAAACACATAAACCACTTTGGCTGGAGTCTTCTGAGCAGGTGTGGACTCTAGGGCAGTAGTCTGGCCATGGGAGGGAGTGGAAGACCTGGGGGCTGTAGCATTTGACGTGGTCATCGAATGTGGTGTATGTTGTGAATCCTGGGACTTTATGTGATCGGCAGAATTACATTCTAATATAAAAGAATGAAAAGATTCATGTAATACAAAGAATAAAACTCTCTTCTGCCAACATATACAACGTCATAACACAAACCCACCTTGAGAATTTCAAGGAGGAAGTACCTGGCTAAGAGGAAACCTCTTTTACTCATAAAAACTGAAATACACTTCTCCCTAAATGACTAATTATAAAACATTCTTCCCCCATCTCCTTCTCTATCATACATCCTTCAGATAGTAGCATAAGTGTCTCTTCTTCCTGGAAACCTTTTTGGAACCTCTTGGACTAGACCAAATACCCCTGCTAGTTGAACCCAAAGCTCCATAATTTCTCTTATTTTAACATTTAGCATTTTACAAATGTTATCATAATTGTTTAACGGTCGGTCTGGGTGCACTGAAATCCTTGGGGATAACAACTGTATCTGTCTTCCTGGCACAGCATTACCCAAACCCAGCACAGTGCTGGCACTTAAAACAGGCTTCCCACAGATACCTGAGGGAAGAAGGAAAGACAGGAGAATATTCACCCAGGTTTTCATTTCTAATTTGGGTTGGAAAATCACACTTCCACTTGAATACTGGCTTTATGTTCTGGCCTGCAGTTAAGATTTTTGGTCTTATATCAGGAGAGGAAAAAGCCTAAAACCACAGCCACTGGTCCCATACTCTTGCTAGCTCACTCCACTTTTGTGCCTACCTGATCTCTACCACATGTAGTCACTCATTCCTGCCCCACTGAAATCAGCTGTGACAAACCCCAACTAGTGCCAGGACTTCCCCTTGTGCTTACAACTCTGGCAAAGTGTCAACCAGACAGCACAAAGTTTTGGAGGATCAATCTGATGGAGAAGAGAAGGAAAGGCCAGAAAAACTGCTCCAATGTGAGCTACTTGCATTGACTAACTGGAACTACTGGCTTGATATCAAAGCACATCCATTAGAACATGGTGAGGGTCACAGAATATATGACCATTAACTCCAAAAAATCTGCACATTCTTAAGAGCAAGAATTCCTCAATAAGGTGGTTCCAAACTATTCTTCAGTATAGGAAAATGGGAAGAAATAGTTCCATCTTAAACTGCAAACTCCTGAATCTGACCCCTACTCTCCCCACTTGGCTATTAGCCTCTCCAACATCCACCAATGTCAAAGGCCTTCCTGCAGGAATACCTACGTCCCTCTGAGTCTCAAAGATCTTATAGACATACCTTTAATGTCAGAGTCATCGTTTGGAGTCCCAGGATCTCTCTGATCAAAGGAGTCGGCGGAAATACTTCGCTCCCTTTTCCCCTTGCCCTTGGCACCATTTCCAGCCCCATTCTTCAGCCCCATGCTCCCACCTGGGCCAGGGAGCGCTTTAGGGGTATGGCCCCCACTCTTGGAGTCACAGGGGGATGGCTGGGATTGGCTGGCTGAGCCCCCCTGTTTACCCTGATTGGAGAATTTGGAATCCAGCTGGGGGTTTCCAGATGGGGACATCACTGTAGGGGGACGAACCATCACCTCCTGCTTTGACTTAGGGCTACTAAAAGAGACAAAGAACAAAGGGAGATCAGACACTGGATATAGCTGGGCATCACAAATTAGGGAGAAGCAGAAGCAGAAGCAGTGGGGTGAGTGGGGTTACTGAGTCTTCAAATAACTACCCCATGTTTCACCACAGCAAGTTGCTTATTCCCTCCATCCCTGCTCCCATCTCAGAGAGGACCAAACAGAGTGGCCTGTCAAATGGGGACCCATCTCTAGGGCTTCTGTCAATAAAGGACAATGGTTTTGGGTTTCTATGTACACTAGCACAGAGTAAACAAATAGGCATCATGAAGATCAAAATACTACCCACCCCCAAGCCTTCCCAGCTGATGACATGAGACAACTGTAACAGGAGTCCAGCTTCCCTAATGGAAAATACAAGCAGGTCCAGAAGAGCAAGGAAACCCTCTGTGACTGGCAAGTTAGGAAAACCCTCCATATCTAACCCCCACCTCCCCAAAAGCAGCATCACACAGAGCAGATACACTAACTCCTACCTCCAGGAGACTAGGAAAAATTCTTGTAAAATGTCAACTTAAGTGCTATGGACCAGAGGAAAAAGCTTCACAGCCCAGGGGCCATTGTTTTAGTTCTGGGACCTTGGTTCTTCCTCTTCATTATTCCAGGCCTCAGTTCCCTCATTTGTCAAGGTGAGCACATTGTACTGGGTGGTCTTTAAGGTCCTTTTGTTTGTGCTTTGGTGAGGAGGGAGTGGTAAGGAGGTCAAGGGACGATGGACAAAATAACAGAAAAACTCTAACATAATGTTGCCTGTTTACTATTCTATTACTGTTTACTTATCTATTTTCTCTTTTTTTCCCCATTGGGTCTCATTCACTTCTAGTTCCACACATTGTTCCACCAATGAGTGTTCATGGTCCCCCTACGACATCACCACGTGGTCACGGACACAGCCCCTGTCCTTACCTCTGTGTGTTTCCTGATGGAGAGTTCCTCACTTTAGGGTTACTGGAATGCATTGATTGAAATCCTGAGCCTGCAGTCACAATCAGGGACGGGCTCCCCGAGTTCGTCTCGGGCTACAGCAGAAACAGATACTGAGGGCAGTGGCAGTGGCCCACTGCTTGCTGGGTGTGTTCCTTAGCGCTGGCCACCTGTATGCCTTTTTCCTCTTTGTTTTCCTCTGCTGTGGAAATGGGTCCTTTCCCCTTGCAGCTCCAGCATTCTCTGGGTGTGTGCCTCCTGCTGCCAAAGGAAAATTTCGCATCTCCAGGGCACACTGCATGAAAAGGCCACCCAAAAAAGAATTGGGCAAAAATGCAGAGACATATAATACCCTTAGAACAGGATCAAGTTTAAAGCACTAGCCAACTCGACAATGTAGCAGATAGATCATTCCTCAGCTTCCATCAGGGTTAAAGGACAGGGTGATGCTCATATTCTGGCCAAAAGGCTCTGGTGCTAAAGCAGCTGAAGAGTGACTAAGACCTTCTGCCAAGCATACAAGCCTCCTACCCAAGCATCATGTACCAGGCATTTGTAAGTAGATTCAAGAAAAAACATTTTTATCTTTAGCCACATATTCTCCATTACATTTCTCTATTTCCAAATATAAAACCCTCCGAAATGAGGGTCCCCCCCGCCAAAACAGTGCTTTGAAAACCACTGGGTACTCCAAATCCATAGCAACTATCTGGTGTTTCGCCTCTGATGACAAACAATGGCACCAAAATGGAACAAACCCATCCCAACTTCAAACCATGAAACAAATTAATCTATCTTATATTCTCAGAGCTTCAGGGTGAGGAGATATTAAAGGAGGTACTTCTGAAATCAACTATAGAGCCAATACTAAATACAATCAGTTATTCTCTTTGATTTCTGTGATCTTTCTATTAAATTATGGCAAGTATGTGTCTTGTGTTCTTGTTGCTTATTGACAGGGATTGCAGGCATGGGTAAACATGGGAATGATCCATAATGCTGAAGGTAAAAGAACATCTTTGAAGGCTAAGGTATTTTAGAGTTAATTTGCAAGGCTAATTTGAAGCATAAAGGTCAAGAAAATACTCCCAAACCTAGCCAGAGGACAAATGAGAAAGTTCTTCATTTAGGGAAAAGATGGTTTCTGTGTAACCACTGTTCCTTCACCTCCCTCCCCACCTTCTGGTATTTCATCAATGGAGTATATATAGGGCTAAAGAAGAAGGATATTAGATACAGGATTCGTGGCTAAAGAATCAAGGGAGTTAGAAGTAGCTGTTACAGTTACATATACTTTGGGAAACTCAAGAACTGGACTAAAATAGGAAAGATTAGTTATATTTGAGGTTTTGGCACTGTGTACAATTACTGTCAAGTCTGAGATGTCTACTTCTTCATTTAGAAATGTGCAATAGTCCCAGCTATTTTACCTGAGACACTGAAAGGAATATATGAAAGTTCTGAGGAATACAATCACATTCTTTTCTTTTTACATGAATAAAATGCTATGAAATATTTCTATCCTGATCTAAGGAGAAAGTATTTCCCAAAACATTTTGGTCTTAATTAAATTTAAGCTTGTATTTTTATCCCCCACCACCTTCGGCTTTTCCCCTCCCCTCAGTTTAGAATATAAAGCTGATTGTGGTTGTCAAGTTTGACATACACAATCACAAGCCATTCTGTAACCTCTCACTAAGTCACTGGTAAAACAGACATAGCAAATGCATCTTGAAGGGAGAAAACCATCAGAAAACATTTACCTTGGGAAAAGAAAAGCTGTTACCACCTATATAGTCCCTTTCTGTAACTTCTTCTGGTACTTTCTGTCTGCATTATACATTCTAGCACTCAATCATATGTTGCACTGAATAGTCTTATGTGTGTATTGTATCCCCCTATAAACACTTTGAAGACAGAACCTTGTTTTAAAGTTCTTGTATTTTTATGTACTACTCAGCATAATGTACTAAGAAGGTGGTAGGACCCTCAGTGACTTCCTCAGTTCCTCCCATACAGAAACACCTAATATCTCTGTTGTACTCTTCTCCCCAAAGAACTCAAAACATATTACAAATATCAAATCATCTTAATAGGTCAGGTTTCTGATGAGCTGGTAGCAAACATTATTACTACTAATAATCCTATAAACATAAAACACTTATATTTTCAAAATACTTCTCCACACAGTTCCTTGTTCTCACACTTTGGTCCAACCTAATCAACAGTCATATTACAGATGAATGAACAGAGCACAAAGGTGTGAATGGCTTCTCAAGGTCTCCAGCTGGCGCTGGCTAACCTGGTTCTTTGCCCTAAGTCCCCTCCTTACCATTACTTTATGGGTGGAGAGACACACAGAAAGCTGAAACAAGCATGTGGGTTCACCTAGTAACAGGAAAACATATGTGTTTCAACCCCTAATCCATGGGAGTAGCTGAAATGTCACCCCAGCATTATTTAGCCTTCCCGACACTTAAAACAACTAAGCAAAAAAATCTGCCAAGTATCTTATCACACAGTTCCAAAAACTAAAATTTTGGAACTACAACTCCTCCTACTATCACAGCTCCCACATTTGCAGGTTGGTGCTCAACTGTTTACTTTTAAGGATTGGAAAAAATCTTCCACAGAATGGTTAAATGCCAGAGAGAGATTATTTTCCCCAATGTAACTAAATCTCCTAACTCCTTAGATCTATATATGTTTCCCTCTTTTTATCTTAAAAAATACTTAAAACACTTAGTGTGTGTCAGTCATTCTTCCAAGCATTGTCCATATAGAGTCACTCATTCACAACCACCCCAGAAGGCAGGAACCCCTGCTATCCCTATTTCACGGATGAGGAGACTCTCTCTCTTGGTTTCCAAAACATCACATTCTTCTAGGTTTCCTCTTATTACTCCAGTCCTTCTTTGCTTCCTTTGCTGGCCCTTGCTCTGTGCAATCTCTACGGTTTAGAGGCCCTCCGGACTCTACCCTGGGTCCTCTTCTCTTCTCATTCTGTCAGTTCTCACCATGCTGACAACCCCCATTTTTACATCTCCATCTGCAGACCTACACACACAACTGCCAACCTGGCATCACCCTCAATGCCTCAAAGTTAACAAGATAAAAGATGAAATCTCCTCTCTAGTTAGCCTCCCTCCCTAAAACATTCTCCCTTCAATCTTTCACATTTTAGTAAATGGCACCTTCATCCACCCAGCTCATGTCAGTAATTTGGAGGTCATTCTTGACACCTTTTCCCCTTACTCCAACCCAAATACTAAGTTTGAATATTTTTGCTGAATTAAGTCTCAACCTCAGTGTTTCTTCTTCAGAGAAGCCCCTGAAAGCCCCTGATCTCCATGAAATTCTCTTTTCAGAGCAATCTGTGTTGTTTTACCTTCACAACATTTTCTGTGTTTTGTAATTATGTGTAACATTCATCTCCCTCACTAGGCTCCATAAAGGCAGAGACCAAAACTGATACGTTCATCCCTGTAATCCTAGCATGTACCATAGTATCTGGCACATGGTATTTGCTCAGAAATATCTGTTGAATAAAAATGGAAAATTTCCCCCAAATCATTTTTCTAAACCAGGCATGTTTTCTAGTGGTACCATCCATCAGGCTACTCACCAAAATCCCCAGGGTCACGGTACTACAGTGGTCATCCTGGAGGTGAGAAGCTGGAGAAGTCCAGGAACCCCTGGCTCAAAGATGACCCTCCCCTGGATGAGAAGAAGAAAAACTCTTCAGTGAACTTAATTTTGCTACTGAATATCTAAAGAGAAGGACAGGTTTCCCATTTATTCTAGAATATGAGTTGGAGAAAGTTGTCATCTCCCATGTAAATAGAATGAGTATAAAGGATATATTATCCAATCAATATGTGTTTTAAGGCCCTGTGACTTTCCCTCCTTCCCAACTGCACATTTTATTTTCAGAGACTAGAGAAATATCAAGTGCAAGTAAAACTGATTTTTCTACTTTTTTAATTTCTGGGCGTTTAGTATGAAAAATAGCCCTATTTTTGCTTCTGCACATTCCTTATTAGTACAGAGAATTAAGAGCTAACTGTAAAAGTGAGACTAAATTCCAGACACGCTTTTGAATTCACAAACTGAATACCATTCACAGCTCCTCCCTACTCTCAACTGTAACTCTACATGGTAAGCATTCAGCATGAAAATTTATCTTCATATACTTTTGGGGGGAAGACAGGGCCACTGAGCCCTGATGCCAACTGAGCCAAATGATGTCGTTTGATTGAGTGCCTACTGTGTGCAAAATGCTATACTAAATTGAGCTAGACAAGTCAATAAAACACTGAAGTTCCAGTCAAGTGGAACAATATCCAACAAGAGTCCTTGTAAATTAAATTATAAAACTGAGCCTCCCTCTTTGCCCAGAATTCAGTTTTGAAATTGCAAGGAAGAAACAAGTTCCATAGTATTGAAAGACCAAATTATTTAGGAAACTTTAAAAGAAGACTCTACAGGGTTGTCACAAAGTTGTACGTAAGTTTACAAATTAATCTAACCAACACCAGAATCACTTCTACAATTCCAATTTCAACTCTTCCAATGATCCTTTCCCACTTTTCTGCTCTAAGAAGTCAAGTTTATTACAACTCTGTCATGTTTAACCAATTTTTCTAGGCTATGACCACTGCTCCATAAAAGGCATAGCATCAAACTTAGAATGTGGAACTAAAAGGCCTCAGGATTCCATTCCTCGCTCATTCTTAACTTCTGGCATGCCAACCACTAAAAGGCTTCCTTTCAGAAAAAATACACAATAGAAAGAACCAATCTTTCCCCAACATGTGGTGAAAAGAAAACTATACAATGAACATGAATAGAAAACCTTGGTGCAAAAAAAATACTACTATATGTTCTCATACTTACAGGGTAAAAATGTACATCTATTGTCCTTTAAGCTAACAAACTTTAAGCAAGCAAATAAAAATGTGCATCAAGCTAAAGCGTTTTGACAAAATTTAAGCATTCCAAAATGAATTTCAACTAACATCATTTAGAGTAATAGCTCTCCAAAGTAAAATTTCAGCACAAATGTTCCTTTTTTTTTAAAATAAAACTCTGATTCCCAACTACTCCCAGGAATGTTCTCCATGGCCTCACAGTATTATATTCAAAACACTATTACAACATTGATAAAACTTTGATGTGCAGGTAGGAACTCCTGGAAAAAAGGTTCATCATCTTAGCACCCCACAACCCCCAGTAGAAACTCAATAAATGCTGGTTGATTCATGTAGGATAATGAGCTGGGGCTTAAGCATTACTACCTTGCCTCAAAGTCACACCAACCAATTATGACACGACAAACATCTGTTCAATTCCTCACCACTTGCCTTTCCTATGAGGTACATTATTGCAGAAGTCCCTGGTCACAGAAAAGTAAAAGGTAACTGAACTGACAGTTCTGACTGGCATTTCAGATGACCTCTGCCTTAGGAACTGCTACAATAATAAACACATGCAGTTTTAGCTTACAAGAGACTCTACAGAAAAAGACACAAAAATATAACACACTCAGATTAAATCCCAGAAATGGTGGGCTCATCATCAGGCTCTTTACCTTTCGAGATGTCCAATTTGCTCTCTCTTCTACATTGGGACAAAGGAACTTTCCAAGAATGAGCTCTGCCTCCTACACAGACAGGAAGTTTTAGGTTGAAGTGGGGTGATACCAGTTAGTCCCACACTCAGTCCTGCAGACATGACAAGAATGGAAAATTTCATACCCCAATTCACACCAATTGCAAAGAAAACCACCCATTCCCCCAAAGCACTGAAGATAAAACAATATTTGGAAGAAAATGATTAGGTCTAGGTCAAAAATGGGAAAAGAAGGCAAACCACTAAAACTCAAAATGCAAGCTACAGCACTGTAGCCAAATCCATCCCAGTGAAGACTTGGGAAGTTTAGAAACAGCAGAATCCACCAGACACAAAAGCCTCATTCTTGTTATTGTTTTTGACTTTCTCCACAACCAAGAACAGTCACCACTAGTTGCAAATGGCCTTTAATTTCATATCTTCTTTATGCCTTTGTTCTTAGCACATTGGAGATGCTGAGAAAATATTGCAAAGCTTAAAATGCAAGTGGCCATAAGATAACTTCACTTTTCGAAAATCAGTTGGTCAAGAGCAGGATTCTTAACCTGGGATCTACTGCTTCCCAAGGGATCACTGGAGAGACTTGGAGGTGGAGGGCAGCTGTGAACTTGCTGGGGAAAACTTTCATCTTCAGAGTCACTAACCTCTAAGTAAAAGTTAGCACTGCCTTTAATTGTGAATATATACGACAACTGACATTGGTAGTATTAGCAATCCTGTGACTATGACACAAAAGAAACCACAAAGACACTTTCACATCACATTACAGCTGTTGCAGATATGGCCACACAGTATTTACACTTGTCACTACTTTAAAAGTATAGTGTTGTTAGACCTGCTCCTACTTTTTGCTATTTAATGTTATAAAGAAGCATATAAATGACTGTATCAAACTGTTTAACATTTTAGTAACTGTTTTCATGTCATCTGTAATTCTAGTTTAGGCATTTAAAAGACACAATTCTCAGAAGGGGTCTTCATGATTCATTAGATTGCCGAAGAGGTACACGGAACACAGATGGTTAAGAACCTCTGGTCTACAGCAAATAAAGTTTCTAGATCCTAACATCATAGTCACCAAAGCAAACAGACAAGTACGTCATTCCACCAGCAGTACTTCATATTTGAAGAAAATTAAGCCACCAGGAAACCAAGTAACATGTCCAAGGTCACAAAATTTAGGGTTGGTATCAACCTCAGGTTAGTGCTCATAGCATGTGTATTCCCACACGGAACTTTGCTTACATTCTTAAAATTGTCATCACTATTTCTGTCTTGCCACTAAATGGGGAACAAACATCACCTCTAAACACTAATAAAAAACCAAAACCCAAACAATAGAACAAGACAAATGTGTAAGTTACTTCTTTTTGTTCCTTAATCAAGTGTGCAAATAATTGCTACAAAAGCTGAATTTGGTCTGTTCCTGAGGTAGGTTTTTGAAAGTGAGAAAAAGGTTGGGCTATGTAATAATCTCTCATTCTCAGAAGTGTTCAAAGCACTTTGCAGGTAGGCATTAACTTGTGAAGCACTGCAATGTGTTATATGTGGTCTGGGCAGAGGCATCACCACATTAATAAACGGGTAAAGAAAACTGGAGAATAAGTGAGATTTGTTCAAAGTGACACCAAAGCCAATGAGACAGCTTCCTCATTACTCTAACCACTATACCAAGTAATAATGATCAAATACTTGGGTGATTATAATGTTTATGAAACCTCTGTACTTTCTTCCCCTACAACCCAGAAAACATTTTCTTTTGATTCAGAGGAGCAGACACTTCTGAAGGCTAGAGGAAAAATATCACTTAAATTCCAATATACATAAGTACATTTTTTTTTTTCACTTATACTAATCATCTAAGAACCAGGTGAGGAATCCCTAGATACCTCAAAAGCCACGTTACATACAACTTGTTTATACGATGAGAACAGTATGGAAATTGTTCCTTCATCTTTTAGTCAATCACCTTCTTATCTATCTACCATATCTCATGGAACTATTATTATCTTACATTCAAAACTGTTACTGCAAAATAATATTCTAATGGTTTCATACCATTAGATCCCAGATCCTAAAACTATACAATGTCATCCCTGTTTCAATTTTGCATTAAATTTTCTCTTCTTGTCGAAACCACCAATTAGTAGAATCCTCATTCCTCAAAGCCTCTTTATGCCATCTAACTACCTGTGCCTTTTATTAATCCATCTCTGCCCTTCTTGCTACTTAAGAGGTCTTTATTTTTTTAAAGATTTTATGTATTTATTTTTAGAGAGAAAGAGAGGGAGAAAGGATGGGAGAGAAACATCAATGTGCCACAGATACATCAATAGGGTTGCCTCCCACACACCCCCACTGGGGACCTGGCCAGGTACTGAACCTGCAACCTTTCCGTTAGTGGGCCATCACTCTATCCACTGAGCGACACCAGCCAGGGCCAAAGCAGGTCTTTCTTAAATTTGTACTCAGGACCGTAACATTAGTCACACTAACATTAATTTCTTTGCTAAAACTTCCCAAATTACTAGTATCCAGTCAAAAAAGTCAACAGGACTATTATTTAGGTAATCTCTCTAAGGAACCAAAGGCTCTTAACCCACACAGGAATCTTATCCACCAATATCCTTTCCCCCCTACCCCATCACTCAGTTATTTCACTAGTTATCCTTTCTATCTGCTAAATCTGATTCATTGCTTTGTGCACAACGCAAGAGTTCAAATCTCTGCCCCAGAACACTTAATTCTTGAATACATCAAATATTAACAAATATTCAACCACATGCCACTAATCAAAATGTAGCTCTTCACATAGCCACTCAATCATTTTCCCACTAAAATACCGGCAGGGATCTATCTTTGTTTGTCTTAACCAGAGTTCAAACATTCCCACCTCAGTCTGTCCACCAAGAGACCAGTTATGTCTATTTCTCTATCTTGTCTAGTAATTTCTTAGTCCCCAAATAGTCTGCAATTTAGGTTCTAAGTCACTACTCTCCATCACAGACTAAGGCTCTTGGAGGGTAGATTTCAGGCCTCGTCCTTCAGGCTCAGGCCCCTTCACATAAGGCCCCCAGAAACACTAT